GAACATCCCTGTGAAGTTTCATTATGATCTGCCTTATGGTTTCAGAGGAGATGTCGTTTGAAAAGTGTGAACGGACAACGTACGACGGACGACGTACGACAGACGACGGACGAAGAGTGATCCTAATAGCTCACCCTGAGCATATGCTCAGGTGAGCTAAAAAACCAAACAAACAAGAAGGCCTATTTAAGATGAACTGTAAGATGTGTACACATCGCAAATGAACCAGGTAAACATTTCTCATTAAATTCAGTTAAGTCAATTACATCAGGATTTTGAGATTACTATCTGCTGGCAAATTTTTACTACATTTAAATCTATTTAACATTGTAAAAATACAGATTCCCATCAGCAATTCACTTTTATCTACTGAGCGACTGTGTTAAAGTAGCATTAAGATACATTAATTTGTTTTCTGAGCTGCAAGTGCTATGTTTAAATAGCATTACAACAGTTTCATTCATTTGCAAACTGCTGTGTTACATTATTGCATTAAAACATTCAGTGAGCAGCCAATGGGTGAGGGTGTAATTATTTAATGTTACAGTTGGTACCATTGGTCCTTATATGCAAGGCAATATGCAGCATTACCAAATGCCTTCTGCTTAGTTTTTGCTACTTATAAATCAGACAACAAACTTTTCCGGTCAGTACAAATTTCAACCAAGACAAAATTAATCAATTTTAATTAGATTCACCAGGGTAGATGTTAGGGAAACCTCTACTATGTTTGTTTGTTTGTTTTGGGTTTTACGTCACATGGACACAGTATAGGTCATATTGCAACGTTCAAGTTTTACTGGTGGAAGAAGACCTCAGGTGCCATTCAGGCACTAACTGGCACCTGAGTAGAACCACCGATGTTCCGTAAGCTAGCTGGATTGCTTCTTCACATGAAAGAATCCAAAGTCCCTGCTGGGATTCGAACCCACAGCTGTGAGGGGCAAGTGATTTGAAGTCAACGACCTTAACTACTCGGCCACGGACGCCCCACCTCTACTATGACCCAAAAAGCTGTAACATATAATGGGTCAGTACAAAACTTCAACCAAAACAAATTAGTCCAACCAGAGTAGATGATAGAGAAACCATCAGAACAATAAAAGTTTTAAGACCTCTACTATGACCCAAGTCACCTGATACTGAATTTATTCAAATGATCTGTCTGTGCATGTCTAAAGACATTATAAACACGGTTAATGAAATTTCTATTTCAATACATGTATGTAAAGTATCTAATTAAGAGCAATTAAAACGCTGTATCAGCAAATTTCACTAGCTGACACACCTTCTTTCTGTATGAACCTTTGTTTACGGGTAATTGTTACAGTTTTATATAGGCTCAAGGGTTTAAACATGTCATTGGTAGAGAGTCAATAATCCAAAATATAGCAGTCATAGTGTGTAACAAAATATTTCAAAATAAAACCTCGTAATTGACATTCAATACTTGTTACAGAAGGGAATACAGTCCCCAACAAATTGAGACTGTACTTCCATGGTAGGGCTTTTTATACCCGGGTTCGGGAAGCAGTCTGCCCTTAATTTAGGGGGGAAAAAATTACATGGCATATTTGCAAAAGGGGAAAAAAAACTTTATGTAAATTTAATTTTTTGGGGAAAACTGCATGATTTTATAGAATTTTTCTTTGAGGAAGCAGCCCTATAACGGCTCCTGCTAGAGAAGGAAAAAAGCCCTGTATGGTACCTGCATGGTCATACACTATAATTATTGTATATTTACAGCTACTGATTTGTTCGAGTATTTTGATTCTTAATCCCTATTTATAATAAATTAACATTATGAACAGTAATTACAGAACTAAGAGTCAAGTTAGGCTTAAATCTTAAAGGAAGTGCAGGTTGGTCTGCTGCAAGCCTCTACAATGGAAACATAATGGCAAGTTATCATGTCTCAGCAAGCCTTCAAAATACTGTAAAATACTGTATATATAAATAATATTATTTGACCAGGTGCGAGATGTTGAGAAATAAATAACAAAATACCTTGATTCAGGGCAATATGTAATGGACACCCAAGAAGTTTTATAGTTTATGCATTCAATTAAACATTAAATCATGTGTACATACTTGAACCTATGTATGAAATTTTAAACTTCTGTCAGATTAGTTCAATGTGAATAAAAAACTATGACCTCTTAGTGTGAAGATAACAGCAAATATCTTCCCAGAGTGAAATATCTTACTGTGCTCTATCAGTGTTAAGATTTCAAACACTGCCCTTTAAGTGTTGTAATATCAGACACTGCTCTATCAAAGTCTTGAGATACCAGAATTCACCCTCTCAGAGGGAAACTGTAAACTCTGCTCTCTCACAATAATAAACTCAGCCCATTCAATGTTAAGATATAAACTCTGCCCTTAAAGTGTTGAGATATAAGAATCTGCCATCTCAGTGTTGAGATATCAGACTTAGCCCTCTCAGTTTTTTGTGATACCAGACTTAGCCTCTAACTTATGAGATATCAGACTCTGCCCTCTCAGAGTGAAGACAATAAACTTCACCCGATCAGTGTTAAGGTATAAAATATCACAGGTAAACGTCTCGTGGCCATGACTTACACTATCCCCCCATTCCCTCTCTACAACCCAAAACCCTAAAAATGAAAGTAAAATGGCGCTGCAGATTGTTTTCAAATAGAGTATTTTCATTGGTCAAAGGAAATCCTCGAACCAATGAAAATACTTAAAGGGACACAACTCTGCTGTGCCAATTTACTTTCATCTTGGATTGAGAATTTGACATATAGGACAAAAGGTGCGTTATAGTTTCATATGATGCTTTGATTGAACAATTATTACAAATAATAACTTAATTTTATCATATTTAAATACGCAATACAAAGAATTATTCATTCACTGTGAAATTAGTGTGTTTTACTCGTGAGAGTTTTACCGAAACGGTGCAATCAGATCTCTTCCGAGTTTCATTTGTTGACATTTTGGGCTTGAATATTTCTTGCTACGTATAATCAGCGAAGGTGCCAGTGTTGTTTTCTTAAAGAGTATTTATTTATCTAAGATTTGACACCAAGATTGTTAAGATCGGTGAAAAATTGATGAAATATGCGCTGATAATTGAGATGCTAGTGATATTTCTATGCAAAATGAAAGTAGAGTAAAATACCTTTATAATATTTTAGTCATAAAAATTTTTTTTTTCATAAAATTTTTTTTTTAGGGTTTTGGGTTGTAGAGAGGGAATGGGGGTATAGTGTAAGTCATGGCCATGCAATGTTTACCTGTGTAAAATTTTAGCGGTCTCAGAGAGAAATATTACACTTTTCCTTCTCATGTTAAGATAAGATGACAGTGTAAGGGTGGTGTAAGAGTTAAATGGACAGGTTTTAAAATAATTAATTCTGTCCATTAGTTTAAGTTAACACTTGATCCTCATCAGGACATCAAGATAAACAAAAGTGTTGATATATTAAACTCCTCCTTCTCATTGTACAAAACATTAACTCCACCCTCTCTGTCTACATTAACTCCGCCCCCTCTGTTTCCAAAATTGTTCATGCTAACAGTATTAACAAATAAACATCAATTCTTGTTCAACTTCAGTCCAGTACACTAACCTGATATCCCTACATATATCAATAGCAAGATTTGTATAAGATTTCAGTGATTTATTAAATTGCTAGTCTATAATTTATACAAGAGAATGTTATGATATTTATTGACTACCATCTCTATTCACAAAAGGAAAAACACAATGTATATAATATGCTTATTTAAAATATTCTATAACTTAGCAAATCAATGTAGAAGTGCTTTTTTTTTTCATTTAAATTTTGATATAAGATTGTTTTCCAATTTTCAAAACAACCTGTGGCTTTCCAAGGGGAAAATATAGCGAGATGACTCAGAAAAGGGGGGAAACCTGAAATCAGATTCCAGCAACTGAGAACAGAAATTACCAACCCATTTTTATAAAATTTTCATTTTTAATTCACTTTAACATGCATGGTACATAGCAGGAGCTGTCTATAGGGACACCTGTCTATCTTTTAGCTGATAAAAGTCAGATGCAGTTATGTCATGGTTCTTGTAAGGAAGAGCATTTGGTATTTTAGGGGGAAATATTAGCATTTTTAGGGGAAAACAAACCTATTTTGGGCTATGGGAAACAGGCTTTTTGGCTGTAAAATACAGTGAAAAAAATCACTGCCACTACTTAAGCTGCATCTTGTACAATAAAGACAATGTTATAGCTCTTGTAATGGAGACAACTCCTGGCTAACATTTTTGGACATTCATAAACTAGAAAATAATTATGTGCATTTAATATAAAATATACCTTACCATCATTTTTGACTTAAAAACTATTTCATTTTGCCTAATTCATGCATTTCAAAGGGAAATAATACTGGCAAAATTCAAATATTTAAGTTTATCTGCATATAAGAGTAATCTCCCCTTTTTCAATAACCTGCATGGAAATGGATTTTTACATGGAAAGACAAGTTCTTCTTTTTTTAACTAATAATTGCCTGATTCAAAAGTTATATAATTCAGATTCAAACTCATATCACTTTCGTATAAAAGTAAATGGGGGAAATTTCTAAAATCAGCTATGGTTTTCTTCACAATTCAAGTTCATTAACTCCCATTTCCCTCCCACACACACAGTGAAAGATTTTTTTTGTTGCTACTACCCAATTATCTTCACAGTTTAAACTTTTCCCCAATGCACCAGTTGGAAAATCAAGCAGACTTCATACAAAATCAGCAACATGGCCAAGATTGTGTTTAATATCCTAACCCTTCACTAGCTTGCACCCAAAGTGACAAGCCAGCAGCCTTTGCAAGCCGGTATAGAGCCAGATCCTTTGTGGTCGGTAGCTCAATACTATGCTAAAACCTTTTCAACTTTGAATCAACTGTTCAAACTTGAAGGAAGCACATATTGATTTCATACAATATACAAGGTCAAGGGTCATAAATGATTTCAATTTCTATACTAGTATCTGACCTACCTCTTGAACTTTTTGGCACTAAAGCGGATCTGATAAGCCATGTTAAAGAGGGTATCCTCGTCCCTCTGAAACAATATAGAGACGTCTTTCTGGAAGTGCTGCAACATGCATTCCATATCCATAGACAGTAGGTGGGGTTGACTAGATTGCAGAATCGCAATTCCTATACGAAATATCACATCCATTCCCTGTAGTAAAATTAAAAAAAAAAACAGTTTTTGTTATTTTTATTTCTTTGGGTTATTATCTATTTTATTTCTTTAGGTTCTTATCTGGCTCAAAAAATAAAAGCAGTATTTTAGTTCTTTAACTGTGTAAAGTTTTGTTTATGCTTCATAAAAATTAATAAATCAGTGAACAAAAAGATCAAATTTTTAACAATCAAAATGGAGTTAATCTTACCTCAAACTGAAGTGAAATATATTATATACAATAACGTCTCTTAAAAAAACCAAACTTCTATATAATTTTCTTTATTAGTTTACCTACTTAAAACTTAGTAACTTCATTTACAAGATAAGGTACAGAAAGAATTTTATCAATATCACTCTTTTCATAACCCCACCCCCCCCCAAAAAAAACCTACATTCACACAAGATGAAAAAAAATTTAAGCATTTATGTAGAATATTACACAAAAGTGCTTACTTCAGACATAAATCCATTACGAGAAAAACTCCATTTTCAATTTTTCTCACTTTTCAAGAATGAAAATAAACTTATATTTACACAAAATGTTATACAAGCAAGCAAATGTACTTACTTCAGAAATAAATAAATCCATTACACGACAAGCTACAGAAAGTGGTATATTAGTGGCAAACAGTGTCAGAAACCACGAGGAAGCATACATAGAAGTGTGAAAGCACTGGGTTTGAAAGTGGGTGAACAAGTCTGGTAACAGCTCCTGAAAAACATATACAAAATATGGTAAGCTTTGTGGCTTTTTTGGTTTTTTTATGCCGATTTAAACACATTTATGATAATATCTTTGTGGCCGGTCCACCTAACCGTTTTCTGGATAAGTAGCCAGTTATTTCCAGATTCTCCAGTTTTTATAAGGAATATAATTATAAAGGAAAAAATCGGGACTTTCATTTTACTTTGACACATCGAGAAAATCAACCAATCGACATAATTATGCCGACTATAAGAATGGACAAACAGAGGTGAAAGGTCATACAAACTGTACACCCTAACACCAAACTTTGTTGCATACAAATATAAGGTCAGAGATCATTTTTCAGCGATTAATTGTAGAATGTCACAAATTTAAGAAATACGTTACCTGGATTAGACATTCCAGTTTATACATACAGAGTCCCAGCTCTGCCATACTAGGTTTGAACAACTCTCGCAGTCGGTAATCCTGCATTAATTTTACAAGTACAGCAAAAGCCTCTTCTTCTGGCATCTATAATAATATTCAAACAATGAAAATATGATCATAAAGTTTGTGTCTTTTTACACAAATTTCCGCACATTTTGCTTATACATGTATCTCAGTGGCCGTTCTTCGAACCAACAGCAGGGGTTTGAAGTTAATGACCCTAGCCGCCTTTTGATAGTAGGACTACCTAACACGTTTTTTTCTGGATAACTAACCAGTAATTATCAACTTCTTTACAAGCGAGTCTTCACTAATGCCACATGATATCTTAATCAGCATTAAGAGACAAATGAACATTAGGGTCAATTTCTGATATCAAATGTAACAGAGTAATTTTGCCAAGCCTGAAGATTGAACCAACATATCTGGTGCTCTACCAGCCCAACATGTCACCTTACAGCATGTGTTAGCAAAGCCTATTAAGCGAGAAAGTCAGTAAAGTAAGTTAAGTCTTTATTTACTGAAGCTATACATTTGGTTAACCAATCTTCCATGTGGGTCTCAAAAACATAATTTACAAAATATATATTATTTACATCATGGCTATACAGTGAAATTTTCTAAATATATACATGAAAACTTAAAACATAATATTTTACTTTATAAGTCACAATGCATAATATTATTTAAAACACATTATTACATGCTTTTCGGTGGTTTATAGAAATATATCAGTGAAATAAAAACTGATAATTTCACTGTTTTAAACAGTGAAATTTATCAATTTGATAATTTCACTGTTTTGAATATTTGAGCCCGTTACGTTGTTTCAGTGAAATACAAGCGTTCACAGTACTGGAAACCAACTTAATGACGTGACGTCGTAAATGACGTCACATTGTATTATTATTTGGCGCCCTTTTCAACTAGTACTAAGTTAAAATGCCTTTTTAAACGTTTCTTTGCATATAAGTCCATTCTCTATTTATATATATTTAGATACAGACTAGCTAAAAAAATACATAATAAATCATGAAAATAATTTTTTTCTATCCAGTTGTGTAATCTAAGTTTAAATCTACCTGCATAAGAAGTAAGCCAACAATAAATCCACTCCCCTGACAATAGCCTACTTCTCTATCATGAAGGGAATATGCCTGGAATATAAATAAATTTGGTAATTGTTATTATGTTTATAAGACAGCAAGAATAATATATTTACAGATTAGCCACAACTATTCATTGACCACTTTGTTATATGGTATATCAACAATTATAGATAATTTTCGCACAACATGCTTTACCTCCCCTGACCCAGGTTTTGAGGGTCATTCCCATACAGGGGTTTTAGTTTATGTTATCCTTTGCTTAAGATTGGATAAAAAAATCTGTGGCAATTCTATCATCTTCAGGTAAGCTGATTCAATTGTTTTAGATATTGGTGCTATAATATTTTCCTTCATACATTTATATATTGAAAGAGTTTAACTATCCACCTAAATAAGCTGTTTATATTGCAGTGATCAGCATACTGGGATCAGAATCATGACATAATGACAACTGTACTGGTTCAGGGTTCGTACAGACATCCAATGCCAAAATGCAAGGACTTTCAAAGCACTATTTAAGCATATTTTTCCATTTTTCAAGCACATTTGTTACACATATTATATCGATACAATCTTCAACGTAAGAAGTATAGTTTATATGCCATTTTTTGTTGAATGCACATTTTCTGGCCATAATTTTAAGGATTTTATAGAACAATGACAAAGGGCCCATCAAACACAGATTAGTTTAAAACAACTACAATTTGTCCTGACTTACTATTACGTCGAGCAAACATTTAATTGATTTTGATCCTTAATTGGATCATTCTTTTGATTTTGTTAACTGTTGATTTTTATCAACACCATGTCATTCAATCATTTTCAAGCACATTTTCAGCAAATTTAAGCACTTTTCAAGAGAGTAAGCAAATTCAAGGACTTTTAAGCACTTTTTTACATTTTTAAGCATTTTTTAAGAAAGGGATTCAAATTTAAACACTTTTTAAGACTGTACGAACCCTGTGGTTAGCTGGTTAACTTCACCCTTAATCCATTAGCCTGCTGGAACCAAAACTGATAAGTCTTTGCAACCAGTATAGAGTCGGGCAAGTTTGCAGTTAAATATAGTAACTGCTGGATAGTGGTCGGAGTAAGGTTATTAAAACTGCCGTATGATATATATTTCTCACCTTCATAACATTGAACAAACTTTCTTGGCCAACGCCATCTTTCTCTTTAAAGAAGTCGTGTTCGGGAAATGTTCTGGCAATATCCCGTCGTATCATCTTCTCGCTAGGAGACTTCTGTTTAAGATATTCTACGTACATGTCCTTCATGGGCGAGTGGTTAACGCCTAACAGTAACTGCCAGGCCAGGCCACGAAATGGGTGAGGGATACCTTTTCTAACCAGTTGCTGAAAAAACAAAACAGCTAAAAATAAGCAGTTTTTATAAACAATTAATTCTATTCTATAACAGCTTCTGTTCAGTTGCATACAAAAAATTACATGAATTGTATACTGTATGTATAGCATGAAGAAGTACAAACTGACAGGTACAAAAAAACTATAAAAGTTTAGGATAAATAACACTTCAAAGAAAAACTATGGGAAGGCCTCAGAGGTATTTAGGTGGGGTAATTTTATAAGCGTATAAGCTAGAACTTTATATTTAGAGCTATCTCTATCTATGACACAAATTGCTGATGTCAGCCCTCAACCTCCTGTATCTTTGTAATGGATTTGCCCTGCTTTGCATTTGGAACAGTCCATTTGAATGTTTAGGGATTTCAACATCTAAATATTACAAGAGCTGTCCCCTAAGACAGCATGCACAACTATTTTAATTTAATTTTTATTTAAGGTGAAGATGATTAAGTCACCATTAAAAGTATTAAGTTTCAAAGCAAACCTGAATTATTATTAATAATTAAGGTGGTATAAAAAAACTTAACCATATTTCAATTTTCAGTAGAAAAATAGCATAATTTTGCCAAAATCCTGGGGATAATGGTCACAAACAGGCATTGAAAGTTTCAAAGCAATACCTAAAGTATAGGAAATATTTGGGAAGTTACATAGAGAATATATGGTTCATGTCAGGATGGAGAAGGTTTATCTGGTGAGAGAGAAAGTGTATCTTGGCGAGCTTAAGTGTGCCAAGATTCACTTTCGCAGTGAACCGGATAAACCTTCTCCTATTCCAACAAAAACCATTTATTTGAATTATCCTACATTTGTCTACTTCGATCATGTTTTTAGATTATTTAAATGTTGTCATTCTTGCTTTTCATGGATAAAACTGCACCTTTATGTAGTTTTGTTTTGCTGCTAACCATGTGACGTCATCATATGATGTAATGACTGGAGAGAGATAACTTTATACGGCAAGGCTTTATCAAGCCAATAATATAGACAGTAGCAGGGTAAAAAACTTAACAAAGTGTTCCTCTGACACCCTGGTCAGTAGAATAGCTCTCCCTATTATATAAGTATAATAGTCTAGCTTAAAATTGAGCTAAATTGATACTGGTGGCTAAGGTTAATCACTTTCAGTTCCAGAAACATACCTTGATAAATGCTGGTTTTTTCTTAGCACTTGCCCAATCATTGACCAACTTGCCCCATATTTCCCACAAGTTGTTGCCAGAGTTCCCTGAAATACAAACATACATAAAATCAGTTTGCTAAATGTGTGTGTTCAAACATACAGGAGCTCCAGTGTGGTCCAAAAGCCTGAAAAATAATCTTACAAGGTTCAACTAGGAAATAAAAGGGAATTATGAAAAAGATAATACATAAAATCTATTCAGAATTAAATTGATAATTGTCAATAGGTGCTTATAAACATTTTTCACTTACAGGATATTTTATACAATTAAGATTATTATTCTTGAAAAAAATACAGTTAGAGAATATGAAACTTTGCACACAAATTATTTGCACAGGCTACACCACAAGGAAAGCAGATTTCCAGTCCCATCATGTCAAAAAAAAACCTGTTGAGAACATTTAAGACTGAAATTGTTCAGTTCAAAGTATTGTCAAATGATCAAAGTTAGTAGGGAAAAATATTAAGTAGAAGCTAACTCATTAAAATAAGTTAATAACAATTTATATTCCTTTTATAGCTTGTAATGAAATTGTACCATCAAATTTTACAACCTAGAAATTTAACAGAACATTAACTTCATGGTGAATTTTTATTTTCTTTACTTCTCATAGGAATACACTAATAGGATCTTACACAGGCTGCCTGTACGGGCGGAAATATCTAGCTTTAGGGTAACTTGACTGCGGTTAAACAAGCTTGAGCCGAGTTTCAGCTTACCAGTGACCCAAGAGCTAGATATTCCCGTCTGTACCTGCAGTTGTTGTTTAATTCTTTTTCTTGCATATTAAATGTCAATTATATTTAAAAAAGAAAATATAAAAAGTAATATTTTCATTTTGCACTTTGCTTATAGTAGGGTAAAAATTTACAACTTTGTTCATTATATTAACTGCAAAATGACGTCATCCTAAGAATGCAATTTATTCATTAAAGGTGCATTGGTCAATGACATCATTTAAAGCAATGCAATTTGTCCTTACATGGCAGTTGTAACACATGTTTTTCTTGCATCAGTGTAAACAGTAGATAATCCTTTCAGATATGGTATTTTCCCATCCTAAGTAATTAAACCATTTAAAGGACTATAATAATGGATTTTAATATCAAAACATTACAACAGAACAACAAGATGGACATGCATGCTCTATGCCTTGTTCTACATGTTCTATCTAGTGTGGTAAAAGTTAATTAACCCTAAACCTGCTATATTTCTATAATGGATCTGTCCAGCTTTGAATTTGAAAGAGTCCAATCAAAGTTCTAGGGATTTCAATATCAAAATACAAAAATTGAGCTGCCAACAGTATAGAGCCTGGTCAGACTGGATGAACATGCAGGCTGGTCTGGCTCTATACTGGTCCAACTCGGCAAAGGCCAGTCACTTTGGGTTCCAGCTGGTAAAATACGGGTTAAAGAATCCATGTTTCAGTTTGTCCATATTCTATACTAATGACAGATAAAACTTTGTATTTTCCCTGGCATTGCAATGTTAAGACCCATTATATTGTATTCACTTCATTTAATTGCTTTTTAATGATGTAACTTATGTTCAAGGATACATGTAGTTTACGAATGTGTTTATAAGTTGGTACAGGAACTTGTTAAGGATGTTATGACCTTGAAAAAACAAGAGTTAAAAAAACTTTATTCTACAGTACTGTTTTGCCAAATGTAGGGCAATAAAACATGCACTACATGATATATTCTGACGTTAACATTTGACATTTATGAAAAATTATTATGAATTAGTATGCATTTCATGCATTTATGTTAATGTTTTAAATGTTTTAAAAAATTCATGAATCATTACTATACCTCCCAATAATATTAATTGTTTTCAAGTAAGGTTTATTAAAGCTTGATTATAAATATAAAGACATAATTTTTATTGTATCATATTTGCAGGCGAGGTACGATTCTCGTTTCTTGAAACTAACAAATACTTGTGTCATGCGAAAACATGGTAGAGACCGCAGTAGGGTTTCGACTCACAATCCTTGAGTCGAAAGGCAGACACCTTAACCAATAGGCCACCACTTCCTTTATAAACTGTTACTGGTCAATTTAAGTTTGGTACCAATCTGTGCATTATTTCAAGGAATTATTGGTACTTCCGCCAGTTGAACCTAAGACTCTCTGTAAGCCTTACAACTAGTTTCTTTCTCACAAATAATCAATAATGCACAAGAGTGAGGGACCTCTCATAGCATGAATACAAGGCATGACAACCTGAAAATGCTGGGATCATGGGTTTCTGGTGTTGTGCAAGGCTGACCAGGATATCCAATATTTTCTACATTTAAAAATAAAAAATTCAATGGTAAACAATATAGAAACAAATCATACCAGCATCTTCTTCAACTTGCTGACTTGTACTGGAGTTTGTGGAGATCTGACTCGTAGAAGATCCTTTACGTGAGTGACCATTGCCAACAAGACCGGAAGACGATTCTGACCTTGAGTGAGACGGAGTTATCCCCTTTTTATCTGCCTCCAGCAATCTGAAAATGTAAAATAGATTAATTGATTCATTATAAAGTTACTATTTATTTCTATATCTTTCTCCAACCAGGTCAGTAAGTTTAAGTGATCTGATAAAATCATAGTACAGTCAAACCTGTTAAAAACACCGCAAAAGAGACATGCAAAACACTGGTCTTTAAAGACAAGTGATGTTTATATAGAGGCTAATTAATTCCTATTTACACGGATATCTTTATTCTGAAGTGTTCTTTAACAAAGGTTTGACTATTAAGTTAACATTAAGACCTCGGAGAATAATATTATAACAATATACTTGAATTCTGTATTACCAACGCATCATTATAACACTGTGCAACGTATTTCGAATATTTGTAATGCACCACCATGTATTATGTTGTTAAAATTTTTGACTAGATCCACAAAGTATGCAATGTTTTATGTCAAATTTTAAAAACAAAACATTTCAAAGTTCACTAATGAAATTCAATGTTCCGGCATATGTTAAGACTTTGACGATCATACAATGGACCCATGCTTCTTTTAAAGTCCACTGACAATTACATGTATATTGTATGATATTCTGTACAGTACATTTATTAAAGGAGTTATAATGCAGGTGATGAAATATACAGTAAGAAAAGAATGCAGTCCATTTATCAAACGAGATATGCAGATGAAATATAATGTAAGAAAAGAAGGAGCACCTCATTTATGTAAAGTATGATATTGAACAGCAAGTGTAAAAAGTGCCAGAGCTGAGGTCAAAATCCCTTAAAACACAGCTTTACATTTTTACTAAAACATGTTGAATGGATAGTGTTATAAAGCAATTTGTACACTTGACAACATATTTTGTCATATTTGAATACTGTTTGAAACTGTTTCAAATTTTCACAGAAGTTGACATGATGAATCTGGAGGTAGGCTGCTTTAATAAAGGGCACTCTACACATAGTGACACAATATGTCATTTTTTGATAGATGCAGTCATGATTAAGTTTTAACACAAAGTTAGTGAATAGCCAGAAGGAAATTTAACTGTCAAAACATCTTGTATGTTAAATTCACAAATAATATCACATGTACACTAAAATTAACAAGTTTAATTGTGTTTACATGGTATATATAACCGGGGCTATGATATATTTTGTGACCCCAATTTTACCACTATATACTTGTATTGTAAATCTGAATTTTCTTAAATCTATATATATTAAACTCATATTAATTCCCCAAGATACATGTAACTTTACCAATAGTATAGGATCTTGTCATTTATCATAATTTTTGTTTGTTTTTTACTTTTGCTTGGGCATTTATTAAAGACTCACTGACAATATTTACTTCAGAACTTTCAACCTTTCATACCAAAGGTCCTTGCAGGAATACCCACAGCTTTGAAGGGCAAGACAGTAAGTGGTTTGAAGTAATGACCTTCCATTTTTGTGTATAATATACATAGGCTGAACTGTTATTTTGCTCAGGCTCAATGTCACTTTAAAAGGTAACTGAAAGTGGCCAGACTTAATTGAAGTGCTATATAATAAAGCACCAACACCTGTCAAAATAATTAAAGTCATGTCAGGGGAAGCATTATGCAAATACTTTCTGAGACTGGTTTGGAATCTTCACCAATTGGCAAGACTGCCACATATAATTTAACACAAAAATATCAATTACTCCCAAATTATTATACTATCACAATTATAACACAACTTCCACAAAAAATGTCAATACCTGTTAACTGCAGACTTTTTCTTTTTCAAAAGGTGTTCGATTTCTTTATTTACATGTTTTTTGTGATGCTGATGATGACGTTTTTCTTGCTTCTTTTTATCATCATCATCATTATCATGATTATTATCATCATCACTAACATTATCACTATCCTCTGTATTATCAGTTGACCAATCAGAAAACACATCGTCTCGAAAAGATTCCAACCACAGTTTTAACATTGTCAAATTTTTTTTTCTTTGTCAATTTTATTTTTCTCTCAAAATCAATCAATAACTTTTTTCATCAAAAATAAAAAACAATGAAAAACTACACAAAAATGTAATCCAATTTCTTCTTCCGATTGTAATATTAATCAATAATACATTAATTAAAGATTCAGTCACTTAAATGAGACAAAAAATTAAATTAATAAATTCACATTTAATACTGTATAAGTGGTTATATAAGTTAGCGATGTGGAATTATAATTATTATTGGTGAATTTCGCGAATTGACAAAAAACGCTAAAATTTCCTTGAGGTAAATATCAACCAATCTGCCATTAAATTCTACCCTTGCATGATTCGCTAATTTTTCCTCCTGCAAAAAGTCTCATATTTTAAATTCGCTAACTTTTTGACACGCAGAAATATCCACTTATACAGTATTCCGTGCACTCAAATGTTACGCAACACAGGTGACTGATAGTCGTAATTAACCTCCTTTGCCCTCTGTTTTTTCCTTTTTTTTATTAAGCATTTAAATTATGCATTATGCAAAATATTTATTCTTAACATTTAACCAGCTGGAACCACTATTTTAATCAACCTTTGCCATAGGTATAGAGCTAAGCAAGCTAAATGTATACTAATTTGTTATGTTGATATTGAAATATTTCACAAAACTTGACTTTAAGTAAGTTAAACTTAAAAAAAAAAATGTCTTAAACTTTGAATGAACTGTTCAAAATTCGACAAATTGACTAATGTAAGCTCAAGTTTTATATGTTGATTTTGAAATCTCCTAAACTTTGAATGGACTGTTCCAAATTCAAAGCAGGGCTAATCCATTATTCAAATTTAGCAGGTAAATGGTGTGATAATAAATGCTCACAGGTGACAACACTGACCAATTCCAATCACAGTAATTTTATACCGATAATATATCCAAGATTAAGTGTTCCAAAAAAAAATATGTAGTAGAAATTTGTTTTTTTTTAATGTCTTGTCGACATCACTTAGTCTTTATGAATTTATCATCCAATTTAAGTCTTGAGAAAAATGTTCAAAGTCCCACACTGAGAAAAAAATCAGTGAAAGAATAAATTCATACACACATAAAATATCCCACGTTATAAATTTGTTTACAATAAATGAAAACAGTTCATTTACACAATGTTATCTAGACCTATCCATACAATAAATGTCAACTATATAAAACAATTTGCATACAACAGCAAAGACTGATGACATCATCAACGTGTAAGGGACAACAGCTATATAAATGACAGCGTAATGATAAATGACAGAATAAATACAATCTTAAATTAACACATCAAATTATATACAATATATCAAAATACAGTCACTTTTTTTTTTTCATTTGGTAGCAATTGCGCATAATTAACCCTTATGTGTTTTTAACCAAGCTATAAGTAATATAATTATGTTAAATGGACTTGCCAATCTTTCAACCTTCCTTAGCTGAGTATCATTCATTATTTTTAGATTACATAATGACTATATAGGTCACAGGCCTTACAGATTAAAATTGGCAGAATGCTTATTTTTAAGGTTCAAGTACATTATCTCCATAAATGTGACTGAATCATTAAGAAAAAAAAGTTTAAAAAATGTTATTTTTCATCGTGAAGTAATCATGAGATTTCATATTGATTTATTTGATTGGGTTTTAAAATTCATACCAACTTAGTAGTACTAACTGTCATAATGGCTACTTTTTCAAGCTTTATTGATGGAATAAGCTAACAGTTGTTATCAAGAACTGGTTTTCAGATCTGATCCTGCCAAATGTTACGATTGTATTATATTTCATGATGCATTTCTGTTCACGGAGATTAGTCAACTTATTTTCAAAGTTGTAACTGTTAGTCAATGTGCCACTGGAATCCATGTGAAAAGCAAAAATAATTCTTAATTCTGGAGTAACTCTATAGAAGATCTATCATTGGTGCCAACCACTGAAAACATTGTTTCAGTCACACGCAGCTCACCTCAGAGATAGTGACCAATCTTCTGTAAACTAGATAGTCATTTAAATTTCTTGCATGAAAAAAACACTGATTCCCAATCCTTGGGGAGTTTGACTATAATAATAAAGGTTAGTGGTTCAGACCTTGAACCACTCGACCATGAAAGCCCTTACAGTACTTTGTATACATCCAATCTGGGAAAAGCAAATGAACACTACAATATTATTACAAAATTCATGAATGATGATAAAAACATGAAGGTCAAGCATTATCTAAACACATGTAAAGTTCTCAACATTACAGCACAATTCTATAATTTTTATCTTTCATGACTCATTCTTAAAAATGAACTTGAAGTCCATGTTTCAATCTAGATTAAACATATTTCATCATTTTTGGGGGTAGTAGGGTTGATAGTTAAAACTATACTCTCTACATCATGGCAGTTAAAGCCATAATGAATTTACCAGAGCACAGTTCAGCGACCACATCGGTACTAGGCTGCTAGCTGCGTTCAGCTGATAATTTCTGTACATGCCAAATTAGGTAAAGTGTGAATGACTGCAGAACAGATTTGATGATGAATCACAAGGAGAGTGACCAGTCTGTACCATTTGAGAATCTAACTCACAACACCCGATTTACATTCCAACTCAATCACATGGAAAGTGACCTGTACCATACAGGAATCAATATTTTTAACTAAGGTCGCCCAATTCAAACACCAACAATATTCTACAGGCTATTGAATAATTGCAAAATATGTTTGAAGTGAATAAGTGCATATCATGATCTACCGTGGCATGAATCTTGTACCTCCACTGGTCACATGGGTAGATTCTGTGACTATAACAGCATGTGCTAATTTAGATTGTTAAAATACTTTTATAAATTGTATCTATGCCAAAGTAACACACCAGTCAAAGGTAACCTTGACCCTTGCAATCCCAGGAAATACAAAGGACTTATTTAAGAACAATCAACCTGAGCATGGAACAATTATAATATTGCTTTCAGACCTTAATTCTTTGGGAAAATTCGATTTTCTTTTCATCTTTTATTTTCTTAGTTTTAAATTTATAATCC